CTGATGCGCTATACCGCGCTGCAATCGCAACAGCGCCCCAAGGCTATAGACGCGAGCGCAGTAGCACACGGGAGTCGATCGGCACCGGCCGCTAACAATAAGGCAGCGCTCAGATTTCGCGCTCAGCTGCGGGCGAACGAAAACGCCACCCTTGTGCATTACCACTCCCAGGTTGTCTGAAGATTTGAGTACATGCGCATCGTTGTTGGGGAATCCCCAATAGGGGGGTCGTATTTGGTCGCCAGGAGGGGGGGGGTCGTATTTGGGCTGAGAAAAATTTATTTTGATAGTTGATTTTTCTCGCTTCATGGACGTTGTAAAGGTGTGGGGGGTCGTATCTACGTTTTGGCGTTGTGGGAGTGGCGGTTGACTTTTGGTGATTTTCCTGTTTCACGTACTATATGCTACTATATGCCCCCCACCGCTCGACGCGCTCGATTCGATGAGGCATGGACAGAGGCTGAGAGGGGGGGGGGGGCGTACCAACTCCCACAGGAAGTGGGCGGGGGGCGGTCGTATAGAGTCGACCAAAATCCCCAACCAATAATGTGCCCTGCTTGAGTAGCTCCTAGAACACCTAATCGGCGAAATTATAAGGAACTAGTTTACTGCCACGGTGTCGATTGACATCCTCCTCTGTATTGCCCGCCATAATCCGACTCCCACGTGAGAAAGTGTAAATCTAGGGCTCTTCGTGGCAAGCCGAATGTGATCCTTACGGCGTAAAAAGGCTACAAGCGATATACTGAATTTTTTTATTGGCCATTTATTCATGACGTCGTCGTCAGGCGCAGTGCAGTCGTACATCCGGTGAACTTGCCTATTGCGGCCCAAGGGACGCGACGCGGTCCGGGCCGGCCGATGCTGCGGCTGGTGCTGCGAGCACCGGCGATCACCTGTTTCCAGCCTATTTCAGCCATTTTCTCCCTAGTTTACGCTGTTTTGGCTGCTTTTCTCACGATTAGTTGTTTCTTGTCTTCACAAGTTAACGCCATATGCATAAGATTTCTCCAGTTTCGCGTACAAGTCAATACAGTTAACGACGATTCGAACAAATAGCTGAAAAAAAATCGCAAAAACACTCTATTGCAAAACAAAAGAAAACACTCTTCGTCCCAATATACCTCATGTCAGACGATAAAAACTAACTAGAAAAAATAGAAAATATCGTCCGAGAAAAGCAGTCAAAACAGCGCAAAACAAGGGGCAGGAAAATGCAAATAGGCCCTGCCGAAAGAGCTGATCACCGCACTCGGCAAACACACCCCGTACCGCGTCGCGTCCCTTTGCGGCCAATCATGTCACGGATGCGACGCAACTGTATTTCTTGCCATATGCCGGCCTCCGCACTTCTGATTATTATTGGCTACCAGGATCCCGCTGCGCCGGCTGACGGCCGGCGCGCCTACCTCCTGAGGTACAGCACGGCTTCGCCGGGCTCTTCCACACATTTCAATACCCGTCTAGAATCCGACTTTTCTTTTATCTGAACGGACGATCAACAGCTATTTCACCAGAATACCCTGCCTATTCTTCAACACTATTCACGGTGCATGAAATAGTGGAAAGGAGCCTTGATCAAGTGGATAGATGATGAGAGGCTCCGCATAGCTCTGCCCACAACATAGCCTCGCGCTTCTCAACTGATAACCCCTCGCTGATCATAAACCACTTTTTCCCCGGTGTCTGGAGTGCTCTGAACCGGCTTTGCGAACTTTTTTGATTTGGCTCCACCCACCTCGGGGCACGCTCCGCCCACAACATATGCCTCGCGCTTCTCAACTGATAACCTCTCGCTGATCATAAACTACTTGCTCCCGGTGTCTGGAGTATTCTGGAACCGTTTTGCGATTTTTTTGGCTCCACCCACCTCAGGGAACGCTCCGCCCACAACTGAAGTGCCTCGCACATTCCTACATTTGATCACTTGGGGACCATAATCCACTTTTTATAATCCACTTTTTGACACCATCTGCAGGTTTTAGGAACAAACTGCGACCTTTTGTACCGGTATCTCGTGCTCAAATGCACGCCCCGCCCACTGTAGACGGGCCTCAGCATGCCGAAAACATGGAGGAACCTTGCGAGACACTCTTCTTCGTCATGGACTTTTCTGCGATCTCTAAACATTCTCGGGAGCCGAGTTATCGACCTTTGTGGGAAGCGCCGCCCATCTTCAATTACGCCTCTCTCCCATTTCCGGGTGCGTTCTCCATTCTCTTTGCGTCGGCGTCAGCCCTTTGCCAACCTTACTGCACTGATCTCTCATCTGTGGACTGCTCTGGAACGGAATATGACTTTTTCAGTGACACCGCTAACTTTCGACGCACTGTGGACGGGGCTTACCATAGGTCATGGGCGCTATTAAGGTGTTGTCCCATGCTCTATCCACGTCACCATACCCCCTTTCCAGTTCTTCTTCACGTGAATTCGTGACAAACAGGCAGACGCTCACACACTCACACACACGCACGGACATAGCCGATTATATACAGGATAATAGGATTGCTACTGTTTCCACTTCTGAATGGGCCTGCGCTCACAACAGCCTCCTACCCCCCCCTCCATTGCGATTTTACGACAGCGTGCCTGTGGTGGGATTATCTATTCGGCACTGACCACCAAGCGCTGCGCCAGATTCAATTGTCGTCGCCGCTGCGTTAGCTGGGCGCTGATGCGATTGTAACGAGACGACGCGCGTAACCGTGAACTATGAAAGGTGAACCTTGCCGCGAAGTACTGATATAAAGACTGTAGTGATACTGTACAGGGTCGCAACTGCCTCGACTTGCTTTCCTGTTGCTGCGAGGCGATACCCTCGTGCTGCTAGTGGAATTGCAGTTGAGCATTCTCCTTTCTGGAGATATCATTCGGTTCAGCATACAGCGCTGGGGTTGTAACGCGCCACTAAGAAAAAATAAGTCAAGATAGGATATATTGCGTGCGAACACGTGCCAGTACGGTATAAGGCTTTTGAGAGAGGCAACCTCGATGAAATGTTAGGCTGAGTGAAGAAGTCCAATATAAAAATAAATAACACGAAATAGTCTACATTTAGGGACTGACGCTAAGATTCCACGAATGACCGAAATAGAGGATTTTTACATACTTTTATGCTGAATCGCAAACATAATTCTTCACAGGTAAGAAAACACATACGATCAATACAACATCACTGTACAGAAATAATCAATAGCTTCTCCATCAGAAAGACTTCCAAAAAGTGGACTGAATACGAACCCTGTTTTTTTCGTTTAACAAAAACTCACATGATGCACCTTTGGAAAGTAGTACCAAAACAACGCATGAATTACAGAGAAAATAGTACAGAAATCGTGTGACGTAATCATAGTGATAAATGAGACAGACAGTTCTAATGCATAAGAGTCTTGAATGTATGTAAGAGAAAAAGCACAGAGAAGAGGTCGGAAAAAGAAACAGTCATTACCATCCATAACTTGGTGACCATTCGCCGGCGTATGACATTTTTACTCAGTTCGTAACCTTTAGGCTGCATTCATACTTTGACCGGCAGGCTGGCCTTTTGAGGGTTTCGAGTGCCCTTTAGCTCCTCACTCTCACTCCGGCAGCGTCAGCGACTGAGAAAGTATAGATATCGATCTAGCATCTACCAGCGTTAGGAAGCGTGCCCCATGTACAGTCGTCATCCTTGCACTTGATAGTCAATGTCAGTGCGGCTGCGTGCGGCGCGGTCGCCCGCACCCGTACTGCACCAATCGTTGAACCAGGAAGTGACATTACTGTATTATATCCTTCGTGTTACTCGTTTTCTATCACTTTTTGTCGCATACGCGTTTCAACGAAAAGGCTGAGAAGGCTTCAAACAGTGTGCACGCTCCTTCTCGCCGACACGCCCCTATCAAGTGCAAGGATGACGACTGTACGCTGCTGGGGAGCGGCCGAGAGTTATGGCACAAGCCAAGCTGTGCTGACTGATGGAGCATACCTATTACTTCCCAGAACCTGAGACGCTGGTGGACGCGGTAGACGCGGACGATGGTAGATTGTGTCTGTTCGCTGAACGCTGGAGGGACGATGCCGCGAAGTATGAACAGCAGCCTCACGGCCACCAGCGTAACATCGTGTGTGAAAAACATACAGCAGGTCGTACTTTTTCGCTGCGGAGGAAGGTCGATTTGGTCTTTGTTGGGGGAGAGAGGCTAATGCCGTTTGGACTCCAGAAATTTCGGCTGCGAGCTCATTTTCAAATTGCCTAAGTCACCAAATCCACTAAAAACTTGTATATAGGGGTAATTCAACATCCTGATTACGAGTATGACACTCATTCTTGGCGCTGGCGCAAGAGAGGACACTACGATTACCTCCTGGGCTCAGCCTTAGCAGAGCGCAGGTAACCGTAGTCATCCATTAGCGCCAGCGCCAAAAATGAATGTCATATTCGTGATCAGGATGTTGAATTACCCCTATATACAAGTTTTTAGCAGGATTTGGTGATCTTGCCACTTTTAAAATGAACTGGCAGCGAAATTTCTGGAGTCCAAACGGAATCAGCCGGGAGGAAGAGCGGTTTGCATTTGGGTTCAGAGAGAGAAATGTTTCGCGGGGTGTTGGAGAAAAACTTTTCACTGGTTTTTGACGCTTTTCGCGTGTGATTTGTCTGCTGGTCATGTGTATATATACCCCCCCTCCTCTCCCAATAAATAGGTGTGAAAAACTGGGGAAATTGGGGCGATATTTTTAGGGATAAACTGTTAGCGGAAGCTGGAAATTGTAGAAGCGGTAGGTGGGCTGTTGCTGGGAAGGCGGGGGTGGTTCGTAAAGACCTCTTTGTTTAGGTGAGGGGTCGTGCAAGACACTTTCCGGAGGGGATTCGTACTGACACCACCCTTTCCCACTATCAATGTGCCCTGTATGGCCCACACTTTAGCCGCCACTTGCATCTCGCTGATCCTCTTAACGCCATAGACTCCTCAATAGACAATAATCTCATATTGCTATTGCTCTTCAATCCAGATGCCCTAATCGTGGTGCGACTCGTGGTGCGTGGTTTCCGATAGTAATGACATACAACTAGAAACAACTATGAAGAGTGTGTAACGTCGCTTTGACACATGAATATCCAGGTCCTGACTGTGAGTATTCAGTTCCTGACTATGGGCATCCATTTCCCCAGTATGGCCATCGATGCCACTAGCAATGTTTTCAATAGATCGAACTAAATCGTCAGGCTCTTCATTGCTTCGCGGTACGATCCGATACTCTCGAAAGCACTCTTCCGCTAATTTCTCGATTTGTTCCGCTTCCGCTGGGGTCCTGAAAGAATACGTTTGTGGGGCGATTAGGAACGTTTCACAGTGATAAGTAAGCATCCGTCAATGCAGTACGCATAGAAGTTTTCCACAGAGAGCGTATACGCATATAGATGGACCGAAGAAAAGCTTCATTATTCAGCTGAACCACTTCTTCTATAAGTAACGCTCGCAGGATCAAGCGCGCGGTGTAGTACCAGGCAACACACGATGTGGCTGAAGAATACACAACAAGGATAATATTTCAGTCGCTGGAAACTCGTTGTATTTGGCCCCCATGTCACTAGACCATATGGAAGCGCCCTGCTCCTTGCCCCATTTCCGTGCACTTTTAAGCGGAGAAATGGCGTGCTTCTGCAACCATTCCCTTTGCATATGGACAAGATGCGCTAATATACTCGAGTAGTGAAGAATAAGAGCGGAAAAAATAAGCGCCGCCGAAAATGCCCTCTATTAAAACCTAGCCTCACACCCTTTTGGTGCCAGTTCTTCTTCTTATCACCTCACTCTCACAAGTCGAGCTGGGAGAGAGCTCAGTGTGAAAAAGCCCACTACTACGAAACGCTTAGAAATGAAAGTTGGGCGTACCCTTGCAGCCAACGGGCGGGGCTAAGGCTTCGCGCTTTCCTCACGTGTTTGAGCTGCGAAAGTAGTACATCTTCCATGACTGCGGATAGGATCAATGTTCAAAGTACTCATTAAAGTTACTAGTATAGTACTCATTTATATCGCCCAAGCCCACTCTCAAGATCTACAGCCTTACTCGAAAAAAATACATGGTTGGCGCTAAAAAATCTGCAGCCATGTGCTCTAGAGGGAAAGCTCTGATACCGTTCTGCCCTGTTCATTCCACTGCGTTTTTCGACGAGCGTTTGACTCCGATTAAGGTTTGCAGGAAACAGGTTGATGGATACAGCGCATGTCAATAGGCGCGTGAATTAGGGGCCGCGCTTTCTTGCCGGGCGCAAAAGCTAGCCAAAACGACCTGAGAAAAAAAATACTTACAGCATATCCGTAAACTCATAGTCTTTCTCGCTTTCCACGCTAGCATGTTTCAGCATGTGACGAATAATGGTATTCCGGTGCACCGTAGCATAGCCACATCGACAAACATACCTTAAAGAATTTTGCTGGTATCGTGGAAAAATCATTTGAGGAAACCAACAAGACAAGAAATGCTGTCTCTAAAAAATGTTCCTATTTGCTCATTCTTTGTTATTCGATAGCTTATTGTCTGTAACAGGACTTTTTGAATTGTAAGACGCTTCAATAATAAAACGCGTGTTCACGACGTGGCGATCAGCGTCGGTTGCAAGGCCGGATTCGTCAGCTCAACTACATAATGTATGAATATTATTGGCCTGTATAGCGTATATTAATCATTGTCAAAATTCGTGTACACGCCACTCGATCCCAGAGATGGAGTTGGCGGATTATGCACCCCATTTGAACAATGACTTAAGCTATAGTTCCATTCAGAATCGCTATTGCTTCTTGAATGCGATATGGCCTATACAATGACTTGTGCAGGCCAGCCGATACAAGTCAGTGTTTTATCCTCCCAGACGAATCTGGTACCAATTCACCGTCCCCGGAGGAAAGAAGGCTTGGTTGGCCTGGGCGGGAGTCGACCCGGGATTCGAACCCGGGCCGCGCGAGTGGTAAGCGCGCCACTTGTCACCACACCACCTCCGCCCAAAACGGCAATATCCCAGAAAAATTCAGCCGCAATGTCCAGATGATGTACGCAGTCACGTCTACTCCATCTCCGGGCATGGAGTACATACACACCACCCAGAAATCCACGAGATATCCAAGCGTCTCCAATCCCAGTAGGAAAAGAGCTGAAACTCACCTTTCGATACCAGAGTGAACAACAGCGGCGTGATGGCGAAGGTTACAGCGACGCATAGTTATCCGCTTTCCACAAAGCTGAAGGGCCCACAATTAGATATTTCTCGTTAAAGATTTTCAAAACATGGATGCTTACCTGACAGGCAACCTCACGCAACTTCTCCTTTTTCTCGGGCTCTTCACATTTTGAATTTAGTGAAACTTGGTTTGGTGGAAGATTCTGAAGCAAGAAGTATGTATTACATATAAAGTAACTGAAAGTCAAAAATGAAAAACTTACCGAGTTGTTATTGTGATGACCGTGCCATGAGCGCTTGTGACCACGCTGTTGGTTAGTATCGGCAGCAAAAATCTGATGAGCTCGCGACTCGAGTGAATTCGTGCTAACGGATGGATATGCTCCTAGGTACGACGACGTGTCACATAGCACCTCCGATGGCATCGGCTGAAAGCAAACTTTTCTGCGGGCAAGATAATTTAGAAGTGTGCAACGGAACAGGTTTTCCAAGTATAATCCATGTAACTGGTGAAAAAAATAATTAAGTTCACTCAAATTGTTATTAATTAGTTGAATGTGATATCTACTGACAAGAAGCAGCAAAGAAATAAAAAAGCGTACAAGTAGTCGCTACAATCATCTCAAACGGCGATGAATCAGCGAAAGGACTGTCATCGTTACGTTTAAATGGGGCGCAGACCCGCCCCCTCCTCCCCGGGACATGGAGCTTATGTATGGGCTAAAATCAGTGAAATGCCTCTTCAATTCTAAGTCAAAGATGAATATGCGGCAGATCTCATAGGATTTGCTTAATTTTTGCGTAGTTCCGCTCGTTTCTTACAACACTCATCGGAATAATTCGCCTCTACTACAGCTGCACAGCAAACCAGGGCCAGAAAAGTCAAATAACGCACGCCCGCCTATATTATTAAGAAGTTTGGGTACATACAGTAACCCCCGAAATTGCACGCCGAAATTAAGTGTGTCAGGTCGCTGAATGCACACCAAAGAGCAGGATATATGGGCGATCCCAGAATATTAGCGTGGCATTACAGTAACCTAGTCGCTAACGTAGGCTGCACGGGGCCAAGCGGTCGCGATCCTGGTGTCACCCCATACAAAAGATTGCCTTCTTCTCATTTTGCACGCTCCCCAAAGCGGAGCGCCTAAAGTTCCGGGTCAAAGATGATTACGAAGCGACATTTTTTAACTTCACGCGCAATTTTCGGAAGTACTGAGCGCACCCTGACGTCCTGAACTCATTACCTTGCAACATCGCCTCGCGGCAATCCTACGCTCATATGCATTCAAGCTTGCTGTAGGCGGGCTTTCCGGGCCTCCGCCGAGCTCGCTAGAGCTTTTCTAAAGGGCGAGAGCATGGAACAAAGTCTATGATGGCGGCGGATCTGCGCCTCTTATAAGCACGAAAAGGATTGCATTTCTAGGCAGTATCACAATGGGGCCTTAACTGCAGTATTAGGAGGAGAGCAACGAAATGATTTGGCTTGCTATTCATTTTGGTTTAGATTTCATTAAACACTAGTCACCCACTTCTTGAGAAGCTGCACTCTGTGACAGCCAACGACCAAATTGCGACTCCGGCTCGGTTTTCGCCATCATTCCAAAGATATTCGGCACAACACCATTGAACTGGGATGGAACACCAGATGAGATGTTGATATCAGCTCTGAAGAAGTAACTGATCAAGCCAGTAGAACAGCGGACCGATGGCTACGGCGGACTCACCTGTGATGAAGATTCCCGTCGATGCCTGAGGACGAGACATCAGCCGCGCAATTGCCATCTACATCCAGATACGTACGTGCAAAAAGCCTGCGAATGTCCGAAGCCACAGTGAACTTTAACGAGTTTCCGGTCTGAAATAGTAGCTCAAACCGTTTCGAAAGTTACTGGGGCCAGAATCAAATCGATACACTCACTAGGTACTGAATGAGATTCATAAGAACGTCTTGAGACTCCGCTTCCACCAAAACGAATGAAACCATTCCGAAAACAAGTTCTCTCTACCTTTTTTGTATAAACTATGCAATACAGTAAAATCGAACAATCTAACAAAATTCTGATAGATACTGGGCATGATTATACATGCATTGATTGAATGTGATTCGACACAGACAAGTACGATTCGGAAAACTTTTATAGGTTCGGTTGACACTGTATTTTATCATTCCAAAAAGAGAATAATGAAATAAACAACGGTTTGGTCCGATCAGAACCACGATCAATACTCATGAAAATACTCCAGGAATGGATGACCCATCACTGCGTAGTCCTCATTGAAAGATGATGTCGTAGCAGTTGCAGAAGACACCGATGTCGATCGGAAGACACTAAAACTGTTTATTTACTCGTTAGTTATTATATAGGGTATGATTATTAGCATGGATGAACATGAGGCGTGGGTGGTGTAGTGACAAGGGCATGCTTACCAAGCCTGTGCTTCCTTGATGGGCTCCCGCCCAAGCCAACCAAGCTTTTCTACCGTCCTAGGCAGTAAATTAGTACCAGATCCGTCTGGGAAGATGAGAACACTGACTTGTACATCGGCTGGCCCCTGCAAATCATATAGGTCAGACCGCATCCAATAAGCCACAATTATTCTGTAATGTACTGTAATGTATAAGTAGAATGTGTGCCACATCCCAAAAGGAGATTAATCAACGGCGAAGACTCTATCCCATATCTTTATGAATGTGTACGGATGGCACATGATTTATGTACTCGTTTTTTATTAATGGTTAACGGAAGAAAGAGGTCCCACAAGTAGAGGATTACCAGCGAACATCAATCCAAACGTTTGCCGCTTGCTCTGTATGCCTCTAGCTGAAAACATGCGATATGCTCTTGCGCTGTCAGTGGCATTTGGGAACAGTCCACCTCCCCTTAGACTCCACTTTACTTTAATTCATCACCGTCAAAAGTGTCCCGTCAGGGCAATAGTTTGCTAAAAAGGCTGCTACGAAGCACAATCAGGAAATACGTGAACAGTGAAAGGAATCAAACGATTGGTTCCAGGCCAAGATAATCTGTCCAGTCTAGACTTCCGAAAGCCATTGGCTTCCGCTCTAAAACTCTCCTTCTGATATACCTTTTCTACACTCCATATCCCGGAGATGGTGGCTGCTCACTTCATTTGAACATGCATTTTTCGCGCTCTTTTATTTATTTTCACTTTCAAGGCAACTGTCTTCTTGTCTTATAATGGAAAAAGATCTGATAACAAGTATCCCGAAATTCATCGGACTTAGCTGCTGTCACATTCAAATGAAGTACGCAGCTACGCCTACCGTATCAGGGATCTGGACTATAAACTAGCTCAGTTTTTTCCTAACCAGAGGTGGTCAACAGGTCAGTTCTGATAATATTTCAATGAGGCGGACATAGCTGTACAGGCCTTGAAACGATGAACCATATCCATACCTTGGGAACTTTGGAAATCGATTCTCCTGAAACGGAGTTAGTTTTTTTCCAGTTGTACGCGACAAAAAACTGGTAATATTTGTGTTCACTGGGTCAAGTAGGCCTCATGGGCCAGCAATCTGCAGAAATGCAAAGTTTCAACCAAATAGCAAAATGGCTTGGTACCCATATGTCTGGCCTTGAAAATAGCAGCTACAGGGTTTACGGTCTAGCATTTCAAGATGACTGGTCTTCTAGCTGGTCTTAGCGATGTCTTTCCGCAAGGAACAGTATCTGGCAATCGCGTTCGCATTATCTGATCGTTTTCCTGACTGCCGTGGGGAAGTTGGATCCCAAGGGCAGTCATGATAGGTAAGCTCTAGGCTGCCGCTGTTCAGACGTAGTATTTTCCCCTTTTTTGAAGTTAGGTCGAAGTCTCAGGTTAGAAACGTGTCCCCAGGGGTAAATTGGCCCGCTGAGTATGAATATCACATCGTTTCAGGTGCGAAAACCTTTGTGACATGTGTCACGAAAGGGACAAGCACAAGCCCTCTTTCAGGCCACAAGGGGTCTACACTTTCAAAAAAGAACTGACCGCACAAACCTGCTGACCTTCCTTGGAAGTCCTACAACACTGTAGTGAAATAAATACCGTCCAATGCGGTCATTGCTTACGCCTAGGACTGTAGAAGTGCCGCACCTAATTGTAAGACCGATAGACAAGTAAACTTTGCGCAGGAGAATTCATCAACACTGACGTCCAAAGGCTACCAAAGCTTCATAAAGTTGGTAAACAGTAAAGATCCCAGTTGAAAACAGAGGAGAAAGCTCCGATGGGTCAATGACCAATAGTTGCCCAAAATGCGCAGGATTTCGTCCATCGCAAATAAACAAATCGTCTTCGCCTAGCGCCGGATGTCAGCTCGGATCTCTCTGTTGTTATGACGGCAATTCAAAAGAGACGCGGTATTTAACTCAACGCTTTCTCAAAAGCGCCATAACAATGCGCAAGTCTTGCGGATCATGGCGTCGCTACCTTTGGGAAGGTGAGTGATGATCTCTTGTGGCTTTATCCTAGAACTAATTCCGTGCTTAAGGACAGCAACTGAACGACACCGTAACCAGGACTGTACCTGAAGATGCTGACTTCTTTGATCGCCTTCTCATTAAGCACCGAAAGTACATAGCATTCTTACTGCCTTTTGCGATAATGCAGGTTTGTGACTTAACAGGAAGCTGGGAATTTTTGAGTGATTGACGCGAACTTTCAGTTTATTTGGTGGGTGACCGCATTCCGCTTTGACTGGTTTGCTCTCTATGAAACTCGCTGGCAAATGCCGATCGTTATGTTTTTTGGATCAACTGTGGCTGGTAAGTTTCTTTCACCACTGAAAGCCCTACTTAGTTGCTTGAGCGTTTATACCACGAGCGCACTACCACTGCTTGACTTCCCAATGATTTTTGAGACTTTCATTTTGTTACTTAAAGTCGAACTGCCGACTTAGATCTAGATTTGACTGCGGTCCAATTATAGGTTGTAAAGTCACAATCAGTCGGAGGCGGTGGGAGGAGGGCGGGATGAGTCCACTCCGGCTGCCCTGCTTCACCAATGGTGATCGGCTAGTGATCGATTCAGGAAGAAAACAACTAATAGTGGCCACGCCGCAGATGGAGTCAGTCCATCCCTCTGCAAATCGACCCGACTGATTGCGATGACACCAACTGTACCGTCCTGGAGGCAGTTCGGCGACGGGGACTGCCCTTTCGCTACTTTCCATCTAGAGAGCCTTTCCTTGAGTTGACAGGTTTAACCGTGGTGGCTTGACGAGCTTGCTCCAGCTTCACAAGGGTGTAAACCGGAACTAGTGAAGCAGCCAAAGCGCAAAATGCCTCCCATCTCCGAACTGCGCCCATGCCCTGTATTCTAACCACTGTGATCAACAACCAATCCTCTGGAAATCCAAATACCGAGTCGAGAGTTATCCATCTTCAGCAGGAGAACCACGGGATCGGTCGTCTTCCTTTTTACGCGCATTCTGGCAGAAGCCATTATGCTGCTTTTGCATTTCCTAGTACCAGCAATCTGTACCACGACTCCAGAGTATTTTCGTTAAATTACGGTGAACAGTCCACATTACAGGTATGACCAGCGAAGGAGGAGGTGCGGTGGCATTTCCCGTGATGACACTACTTCTTCAAATCGATCCTATCACAGCCCGAGACTTTTCCCTCATCATCCAATCAGCGGGTTGGTTCAGTTCTAGGTTTCCCTCTCGGGATTTCTCGCAGAGTCACGCCCTCGATAACATTGAGGCACATTTCAGGAATGACTTGTGCCATGTGTGTTGTGCTTATCATGCAAATTCAAATCGAAAAACGAGCGATCGTTTTCGGAACACTTGGATCTGTTCCAGGATTCGTTATCGGATCACTTTTCGTACGTTCTTTCTGCCAATGATCCACTGATGTATAGTAGAAAAAATGGAAAAATTATCTGCAGTTAGATGCCTACCTGACAGCAGCTCAGAAAAAGATGCTCTTCGTCTCCATCTGGTCTTCGTTTGCCATCGCTCTCTTCATTCTGAATTCCCAATACAAACGACGAACTTACGACATCATTCCAGAATTTTCAGCCTGGAAAGCAACTGTTCTCATCATGACCGGGTTTGTTGGAGGTAACACCTTTAGCA